TTACTAATGTCATTTCCAGTGAGAACTAATTGAACTTTATACTTTAATATGCTCAAGCTAAAAATATTTTTTTTATCACATAATCCTCAGTGAGAGGGTGATAATGAAGTAACAGGAAAGCAGTTAAACAAAATAAAGTGGGGAATAAAGAGTTGAAATTTGTCATACTGCTACTGTAAAGCTACATGCGAAAAAGAAAAACAAAATCAAACAGAAATCTCTACCTAACGAGTTTTGTTAAGCACAGCACGGCAACTTGGTACCTGTGATGGTATCTGTCAGGCTCGCTCTTTGGGATGGAATCCTTATGTGATGTAAACAGTTAAATGTATTTGGCTGTTAACAGATGGAGGCTCAAGTCTACACAGTCACTTGAGAAGAAAAAGACTGGGGAATCTGTTGTTGTTATGTGTTGCCGAGTCCCCTGCGACTCATAGAGATCCTATGTTACAAGAGCTCTAAACCTTGCTCTATCCTGTGCCAATCTTATTCTCTCTGACACATCTATCCCCATTTACCCCAGTAACTGAATCAATCCATCTCATCAAGGGTCTTCCTCTCCTACACTGTCCCTCCTCCCTCCCAAATATGACATCCCCCCGGGAGAATCTATTTCTAAAAAATCATCCATTGAAAGCCTATGCAGCAAAGTGGTCTTCTTTGTAAACATAGAACCCCCTCCACAAAAGCTCAGCACTGCTCAGAGAAGGCTGTCAAGCAGGTGTTTAAATGCGGTAGCTCTGGGACAGAAGTGAGTATGTATCTGTAACAGCTGCATCAGGATGTCAGTCGTGGCCTAGGAGTACCAAGAGCTACAACAATAGAAGGGAAAGGAAATTTAAGAGCACTTACACAGGTGCTCCCCAAAACTCTAAAAACCTTCCCAGTGCGTTACACTCTGTTCCTAGGGACTATATCCTGTGCTTTCATTCCAACAAATAAGCAAGAGGGATCATATTGGTGAGGAAACTAAGAAATGAACACCGCATTGAAACACATGAGGGAAAGAACTGTGTAAAAGGAATATATGATTAGGTATTATTTGCATGACAACAGTCCAGAATATGAGGTGTATAGCAAAGTGGACTGGGGTGGGGAGAGGAAATTGTGGAACAAGAGTTTTGTTAAAGAGAAGAGCAAATTTGAAACAATGATTGAACGGAAATCCAGGTTTTCTGTAAACTTTCATTAAAATCACAATTGACAGCGAGAGAGGGAGAGGGAGAGGGAATGGGAGTGGGAGAGGGAGAGGGAGAGGGAGACGGAGAGGGGGAGAGAGAGAGAGAGAGAGAGAGAGACAGAGAGACAGAGAGACAGAGACAGAGACAGAGACAGAGACAGAAAGACAACATTGTAGTATGAAAGACGACCACACAAGTTTCTCTGGAATTGTTGTTAGTTTACCACAAAAGTTTCTCTGGAATTGTTGTTAGTTGTTGTTATGTGCCGTCGAGTTGTTTGCGACTCATAGTGACCCTATGTACAACAGCCCTAAACCCTGCTCTATCCTGTGCCAATCGCACTGCCTCTGACACACCCATCCCGATTACCCCAGTCACTGAATCAATCCATCTCATAGAGGGTCTTCCCCTCTTGTGCCGTCCCTCCACCCTCTCCAGCATGAAATCCCTCTCCAAGGACCTGTCCCTCCTTGCAACATGCCCAAAGTATGTCAGACGAAGCCCCAGAATCCTTGCCTTCGAGGAATAGCTTGGTTTAACCCTTTCTAGGATGAATCTGTTTGTTTTCTTGGCAGTCCATGGTACATTCAATACTCTTCTCCAGCACCACAGCTCAAAGGCATCAATTCTCCTTCTATCCTCCCTAGTCATTGTCCAACTCTCTGATACATAACAAGTGATTACAAAGACCATGGCCTGTATCAGGAGCACCTTAGTCTCCAGAGAGACACCGTTGCTCTTGGGTACTTTAGAGAGGTCCCTAACAGCAGACTTTCCCATTGCAATACATATTTTGGCTGCTGATGCCAAGAGTGTTGACCATGGAGCCAAGCAAACTGAAAATGTAGACAATCTCAATCTCTTCACCATCAATCCTGATGCTACCAGTTGGGCCAGTGGTGAGAATCTTTGTCTTCTTGACATTGAGCCTAAGTCCATACTGAAGGCTGCATAACGCAGATTGTTAATAGATCTTCCACCAATCCTGATGCCACAATTCTCCTCATAGATCCCAGCCTCCCGGATAATCTGCTCTGCATACAGGTTGAAAAGGTATGGAGATAGGACACATCCCTGGCGTACACCCTTCCCAATTTTGAACCATGCAGTGTTACCCTGCTCTCTTCTGACAACTGCCTCTTTGTCCAAGTATAGGTTTCGTATTAGTACAATTAAATGTTCTAGGATTCCCATTCTTCTCAGAGTCAGCCACAGTTTGTTATGATCCACACAGTCAAACGCCTTTTCATAATCAAAGAAACACAGATATACAGTCTTCTGGTATTCCCTGCTTTCAGCTAAGATCCACCTAACATCAGCTACAATATCCCTAGTATCACGACCCCTTCTAAACCCAGCCTGGACTTCTGGCAGTTCTCTGCTGATGTGCTGTTCCAGTCATTTTTGGATAATCTTCAGTAGAACCTTGCTTGCATGGGAAATCAATGATATTGTTCTGTAGTTTCCACACTCTGTTAGGTCACCTTTCTTTGGAATGGGAACAAATATAGATCTCTTCCAGTCAGTTGGCCAAGTGGTTGTTCTCCAGATTTCTTGGCACAACTTGGTGAGCACATCCATTAGCTGGTTGTTAGTACCATCTCAAAAATCTTTACCACTGGGCTAATAGGCAACATGACTGATGGAGAAAAGATTCAAACTGTCAATGACTTCTTCTTTCCTCAATCCACAATCAACACCCTCAGTACCAACAGTCAAGAAATCAAGAGACATTGCATGAGGAAGATCTGTTGAACAAAGCATTAGGGAGCAATAATGTCAATTTAAAGATTAAAGTTTTCAATCCCTTGTTATGGATCTGACAGCTAAACAAGAAATGAGGATGACAGAAGAATCACTGAAGACTTTAAGTGGTGGTGCTGAAGAAATATCCCATGATTTCTAAAAGAACAGATATTTCTTGGCAGAAGTGCAATCAGAGTGCCCCTTAGAGGCAAGGATGGTGAAGCTGCATCTCACATTTTGGGGCATTTTGTTAGGAGGGGGTTATTTCTTGGAAAGAGACAACATGCTTGGAAAGGTAAAGGATCAGAGCAAAGGAGAGGAAGACCTTCTACCAGATGGACTGAACAGTGATTGCAGCAACGGGCTCAAGTATGTCAGAGCTGAGGAAGACGACATAGGATAGGACAGGGTTCAGACCTGTTGTTCATTAAGTACGACTATGAGTCGCACCTGACAGCACCTAAAAACAGCTAAATTACTTCTATTCCATGCTCAGTAACAGCAAAGCTGTTAGAGTCCTTGCCTGGCACACACGCCTAAGCTATGTGAGGAGCTCTGTAAACACAGTGGAAGGCAGCCCTGAACAGAAAACAGCAATGCACAAACAACTGCCTGGGCAGAAACAGCTGGGCTGTAGAGACAGCAGTACTGTCATGGTCATTTCCAAGTGTTTAATGTTTTCTATTTCTGCAGGAGCGGCCCTTTAGAGTAGTGAGAGAAGATCTTCACCCTGAAACCCACAGCGTCCCTTTTCAGCAGGAAGTAGCTAAGAGAATAGGCCATCCCCTTTTCCTTATGAATCAGGGTGAAGTCTCTCTCAGGGAGGAGTGATAGGGAATGGCAAAGGACACACTGACAAAGGAGATTAATCAGAACTGGCTTTGACAAGCACTATGGCAACTGGACAATTAAAACAGACATTCGGGGGCGGGGAAGAAGAACGAATTGGGGAGGAGGGTAGAGAAAACAGTGCAACAATGAATGAATGAAAACCCAAAATCTCTGTAAATGTTCATTAAAACTAATAAAATTTAATAATAATAATAAAAAAAAAGCTAAAGAGCTAAGCTCCAATACTGTGCTTTCAAGCTATTTAATAGAGTAACACAAAGAGACTCAGAGAAATCTACAGGCTAACATCTTTGCTATTCATAAGTGCCTTTTGATAACTGCTCTTTCCCCAATCCAAGTCTCTAGATTTTCTCATTTTCCTTTTGACTGATGAAACATGTCCTTGGAATCACAAACCCATGGTGTTGGCTGATGAGTTACAGAGAACAGTGCCAGAGGTTCAGTGCTGGGGAGACCTAGGTTCTTGGACCAACTGTGAAACTTCTAGGAAATAACTTAATGTCTTCAAGCTATACTTGTCATTATAAAGGAAAATGGTAGTAGTTTAGCTGTCCTGTCTACTTCACATTTTGTGAGGAAAATACTCAATGTACCATGTAAGCCAAAGTATAATAATGGTTTTGGCTAGCTTGGTGATACAGCAGGCCCGTTCCTCTCCTGGTGTTAAGAGGCCAGTAACTTCGCTAATCATAAAGGCCCCAGGAATGTATTGACAACTCAGTTACCACTGTCTGTCACTGCACATCTACAGCAACAGTATAAAACCTACTATCTGATTATTTTGCACAAGGATGATATAATCTAGTAGTAACAAACACTGAGTTGTAAGGCAAGAGTCATGCTGGCTGGGCCATGATTCTCAGAGGCTCACCAGTTATGTAATAACACACTCAACTCACTGTCAAGTCAAAAACAACTCACAGTCAACCCTAGAGGGAGTTTTGGGGAAGATACAAATCGCGTGGGGGTAAGACTGTATGTTTTGCTCCTGTGGAGCTAGCTGTTGGTGGATTCAAACCACTAGGGGCCCTAACTTTGGTTAGCAATGCAGTCCCGGCAGACGAGGTCACCGGTGCTCCCAAGCAACGATGCCCTCCTCCATTCTCACATACGTCCATTTTTTACATAATGGCCTGGGTTTGGGGACCTAACCATGCCAGTAAGTGAGGTGTCATTATCTTCTCTGGGAACACTGGAATAAAAGTACTCTTTTCAGCTTACCTTCTTTTCATTGACGTCTGTCTGTTCATCTTCCTCATTCATCTCTTCTAACATATCTTTGATTTTGTTCAGAAGTTCAGCCTTAGGGGCAGACACATTGTAGTAAGCAGGACAGTTGACCAACACGCTCCCCATTTCCTTTTCTTCACGCCTGGACCATAAAGAACAGAGAGTCGTAGGAACGTGAATGAAGGTAGGAGCTTCATTATATCACAGGTGTCTGTTCATCCAAAATGTGTACAAAAACCCAAAAAGGATTAGATTTTCCCCAGATATAAGGATTAAAAGTTATTATTAATGTTGCTGTTAGGTGCCACTGAAAGGAGTATGATTCATAGCAACCCTTTGAACAAAAGATCTGAACCCTGTTCTATTCTGGGCCATCCTCACACTTCCTGACATACAAGAGCCCAACTGGAGCAGTCACCTAGCCAATCCACCTGGTCAAGGGTCTTCCTCTCCTTCGCAGACCCTCCACCCTTCCTAGTATCATGGCCCCAAGGAATAGCCCCTCCTAGCAACATGCCCAAGTATGTGAGGAAAAGCCTCATCATTTTTGCCTCCATAGAATACTCCAGCTACACCCTCTCCAAGACATATCTGCATGCTTATTATAAGTACGGTCCTTGAAGTTAGGCAACTTAGGATGGAAAATCACTAAAGATGGCATGAAAGAGCTATTAAAACTAAAGCAGCTGGTGTGACTAAGTGACTGACCCAGATTTGAATCCAAACCTCTTCAGCCCTCTATCCCTTCTGATTTCAGAATAAGGTGCCCTGGTGGCACAATGGTAAAAGCACACAGCTAATAACCAGAAGGTTGGTGGTTGAAACCCACCAGCCTCTGTGTGGGGAAAGGAAGTGGCAGCCTGCCAGGCTGGCAATATTTGATTACTGCCAAATTACAGTCTCTTTTTAATAATTTGCTTTACTCTCAGAAACAGAGGTAGCCTCTTCCTTTCTTAATTCTGATTTTGTTTCCATGCACATATTAAACACCCTGTTGTTACCATTGATAGATGCTGTTGAGTCAAGTATGACTCACACTGAGCCAATCAACAACAGATCTGAATGAATCCTGTTCTATCCTGTGCCATTGTCACCATCTCTGATTCACTTGAGCCCACTGCTGTAGTCACTGTGTCTGTTACTGTATTGTTGTTGTTATGTGCCGTCGAGTCGTTTGCAACTCATAGCAACCCTATGTACAACAGCCCTAAACCCTGCTCTATCCTGTGCCAATCTCATTGCCTCTGACAGACCCATCCCGATTACCTCAGTCACTGAATCAATCCACCTCATAGAGGGTCTTCCCCTCCTGCGCTGTCTCTCTACTCTACCCAGCATGATGTCACTCTCTAAAGACCTGTCTCTCCTTACAACATGTCCAAAGTATGTCAGACGACGCCCCAGAATCCTTGCCTCCAAGGAGCAGCCTGGTTTAACCCTCTCTAGGATGAATCTGATTGTTTTCTTGGCAGTCCATGGTACATTCAATACTCTTCTCCAGCACCACAGCTCAAAGGCGTCAATTTTCCTTCTACTCTCCCTAGTCACTGTCCAACTCTCTGATGCATAACAAGTGATTGCAAAAACCATGGCCTGTATCAGGCGCACCTTAGTCTCCAGAGAGACACCGCTGCTCTTGAGTACTTTAAGGACTCTAAATATGCAAAGGGGTTGTGAAGCTTAGAGGTGGAAAAATATTAAACAAAAATAAAGTACATTCACAAACCTGTTAACATATGTACTATTTACATTAAAACATGGTATGTGTTCTATATGAGGCTATTTGAAAATAAGGTTATTCATAATGCTTAAAGATATTATCAAATGAAGTATTTCTTTAAAACGGACTTTATTTGACTTTGTACCAATTCTAAAAATTTATTCCTAACAGGCCTTTAATTTCTTCCCCCCTTCCCCCGCCCCCCTTGTTGTGTACAGTCAAATCTGATCCAGCTAGCACAGGAGAAGATTGCCCCTCCTTCTCCAGCGGAGTATCTGGTGGATTAGAATCATGTATCTTTGGGATGGAGGCCACCAGAGTTCCATACATCTTTTGAGTTTCAAGAATTATTGTTAAGTCCTATTTTTAACCTTGTGATCTACAATTTAGTATTACTTTATTGAGACACACACACACACACACACACACACACACACACACACACACACACACAAATGCTTGAACAAACCTCTACGAACCATAATATGGCTAAACAACCATCAATAGGTTTGGAAGTTGTACTCAAATATCCTCATGGTCAAAGATGGCACGCGAAGTTAAAAAATGATGTGTGGAGAATGAAATTCCACGCCCATGAAGCATGATCTTGTATATGTTGCTGAATTTTAAGCACTTTATGTCACTGCTACTTGCTGTAGCACAACACATCTTATCGTGTCTAAGAACACGATGTTGTTGTTGTTGTTGTTGTTGTTATGTGCCATCGAGTCGTTTGCGACTCATAGCGACCCTATGCACAACAGCCCTAAATCCTGCTCTATCCTGCGCCAACTGCACTGCCTCTGACACACCCATCCCGATTACCCCAGTCACCAAGTCAATCCATCTCATAGAGGGTCTTCCCCTCCTGC